TGTGCCAGCCACAGAGACCAGGTGTTGCTAGACTGAGCAAGCCCTACCAGTTCAGGGCCAAAACCTCAAAACTTGTTTTCACAGGAGGCCACAGGTATAAGTGATAACTGCCATCAACACACAGTGGCAGAACCTTGCCAGAGAACCAAAGAGGTTTTCCATGCTGCTCTTTTTCCAAACAGTCCACAAGGAAATAGAAGGCAAGACCTAGCAGAGGTTGCTGGAAGACCTCTGGGGAAACTAGATTTATGGAATAAAGGAGCTTAAAGGCAGAGGCCAAGCAGGCATAGGAGGCAGCATGAAAGGGGGTAAAGACATGTAGTGGAAGCCAATAAAGGGGCCAGTCACAAGCGGTGACTAAGGCCTGCCTCAGGGTGGGGTGGGTGCCAGGAAAACTGTGGCTGGAGGTCTGAGACTGGGAGGCGAGCAGCAAAGAGCAACTGCTGCTCCACCTGCTCCTGCCCTACCTGGAAGCTCCCCTGAGCCCCACAGTCACCCACACCAGCTCTGTCTTTCACTGTGGGGTGGGCCACTCTGGGCACTTTGTCTCCCTTCTCTGCAGGCAAAATCAAAGTACAGTGAAACTGAAGAAAAGACTGAAAGCTATGGAGGGTGGACTGTGTCTGCTGTGGCTTGGCCATGGGCAGAGCCATCCCCAGGATCCTCGGGCACCAGGAGCCCCTTCTTTTCTCCCCAGGGCTTCTTCTAGAAGTTTTGCTTAGAGTCAACAGAACAGGAGTCTCCCAGGGCCCTAGGAGGAGCCAGTGGGTCCATCTAGATCAATGTGGTAGGGAGGGCTGTGGGGCAGGCTGCTTGACTGGCTGTTCCTTCACCTTCTCACTCACTTATCTATTGGCTGACTGACCAGGACCAACAGATAGCCTCCCAGCAAGGCCAATCTTCTTATTTACAGGGCAAGGTCTTTATATAGCCTTTTTTAAAAAAATTGAGATGGAGTTTTGCTTGCTCTGTTACCCAGGCTGGAGTGCAGTGGCACTATCTCACTGCAACCTCCACCTTCAGGGTTCAAGCGATTCTCCTGCCTCACCCTCCTGTGTAGCTGGGATTACAGGAGCCCACCACCGTGCCCAGCTAATTTTTGTATTTTTGGGAGAGAGGGGTTTCACCATTTTGGTCAGGCTGCTCTCAAACTTCTGACCTCACATGATTCGCCTGTCTTGTCCTCCCAAATTGCTGGGATTACAGGTGTGTGCCACCGCACCCAGCCTAGAGAGCCTTTAAAGAGATGTAATTGCCACATCTACAAGGAGCTTGACTGAGCTCCCAGGTCACTCTTCCCAACCCCAAGCTCTCTGGCCTCTTCAGCAGTCAGCAGAGTGTCCATGTGTAACAAAGCTTATGTACAAGGATGCTGAGGGCTAAATATGTCAATCAACTGCACACTTTTTCCCACCAAAGAGCAAAGCAGAAAAATACCTTCCTTACAACAAAAATCACTGTCAGAAGAGGCTGCACTGTCAGAAGAGGGTGCATTTCCACAGACGATTGCTTTTACTATACTAACAGTTTTTATTTTTATTCATTTATTTATTTTTTAAGAGACAAGGCCTCACATGTTGCCCAGGATGGTCTCAAACTCCTGAACTCAAGCAATCCTCCCTCCCTTAGCCTCCCAAAATGCTGGGATTATAGGGATGAGCCACAGTGCCTGGCCCTGACACTTTTCTGTGAGGTCATCAGGCTACACATATGAAGGCTGAGAAGAATCTTACTGATTCTCTCAAGAGACACTATTAAGAATGCCACTCACTGTAACATAGCATTCTCTTTGGAGAACCCATAGGAGAATTCTCTGGTTTCAGTAACAGAAACAGCTGTCTCCACTCAGCAGCAATTTTCACTTTATTAGTATTAGCAAAACTGATTAAAAAAAAAAATCCCTCTTTGCTTTGGCTGCTACAAAACTCAGAGCTAAATACACAATCTCACCTGAGTAAAATGCACAGGCCAGAGACATAGTTGCCTTTTGTGCTAATAACTCCCTTGACTTTCTCTTATTTTTTTTTCACTCCATGTGCCTCAATTGCTTTTATTAAAAATTTTGTTACATCAAAGTATCTCGGAAAGATTCCTCAAATAGTTTTTTTTTTTTTTTTTTTGGAACAAGATAGAGAAATTGTTAAAACAAAACAAAACAAAATAGAAAAAAGCTCCTAAACCCAATATTTTATTCCAATACCATAATAAAAAAGATTTTCCCAATACTTCTAAAAAGCAAACGTAGATACTCGGGTTAGTGCTTCACTATCAAAGTGCGATCCAGGACCAGCAGCATGGGCATCACCTCAGAGCTTGTTGGGCATGCAGATTCTCAGGTCCTACCCCAGAACCTTGGAATGAGAATTTGCATTCTAGCAATATCTCCAGATGACCTGGTAAGCACAATAGTGTTTCAGAAGCACTGGGTTAGTAAGTGAGGCTGTTTCAGCACCCTGAGAAGGAACAACTAAAATAGTTTTACAACCATTCCTTGGGTGCCTATGTGCTAGCCACACACAAGAAAACTTATGGTCCTTGTCTTCATGGCCTCTGCCACAGGACACTAGAAAAGGCTCGCACCTTGTGGCAGGTTTTTAATGGCTAATGACAGAATACCACAGGAGTCCCCAGAAATAATAGTATTCCCTAGAAAAGAATTTGAGATTCACTGTGGCTATCCTAAAAACAGAATCACAGACCTGAATTTCTCCTTTGCCAATTACAAGTGAGGAGGGTAAAGGTATTTGTTGTGGAAACTGGTATGCCAAGGGAGCTTATAGCTACAAGGAAATGTGTAAGTTAACCTGTTTCCTGTAACCAGAAAGTGGACAGGAAAACCTGGAAGTGATGCAGTGTCCCCCAGGGGTTGTAACTGACACCTGTAGATCTGGCAAATAGGTCTAAAGCCAAAAGGAACACTTCTGCTTTTCACAATGTTTGTGAGCAACTTTAAAGATAGGACAGTTTCTTCATGAGAATAGATTTAAGTTATAAGGATAGTCCACCTCCATAAGCTCTGCTTCTCTCTGGCTGGATCAACCATGTAAAGATTTTTTGTCAGCTACACGAGGCTCCAATCTATTTAGCTCCTCCTTTTGCATGATCATTTCAAGTAACAGACTCCATTAAGAGTGTTATCAAGTACTACTCTCTTGGCCAAATTGTTATTTGGCACCGAATCAATCTTTAGATGGTGGTGATACATCAATATCTTATTTAATCTTCATAACACACGGTGTAGGTACTATTGTTACTCCCATTTTAAGGATGATCTCCAGACACATAAATAGACAATCGTCTACGAAATACTTTCACTGTAGAAAAATAATCAAGAAAGGCTAAAGGGATGCTTAAAAATCAGCCATCAGACTGGGCGCAGTGGCCCATGCCCGTAATCCCAGCACTTTGGGAGGCCGAGGTGGGCGGATCACCTGAGGTCAGGAGTTCGAGACTAGGCTGGCCAACATGGAAAAATCCTGTCTCTACTAAAAATACAAAAATTAGCTGGGCATGGTGGTGGGCGCCTGTAATCCCAGCTACTCAGGAGGCTGAGGCAGGAGAATCGCTTGAACCCGGGAGGCAGTGCAGTGATTGCAGTGAGCTGAAATTGTGACATTGCACTCCAGCCTGGCCAACAAGAGCAAAACGCCCTCTCAAAAAAAAAAAAAAGAAAAAAAAATCAGCCAACACTTAGGGGTCCAGGCACCATGGTTCATACTTGTAATCCTAACACTTTGGGAAGCCAAGGCATGAGGATCACTTGAGCCTAGGAGTTCGAGACCAGCCTTAGCAATATAGAGACCTCATTTCTACAACAAAAGAGAAAATCAGCTGGGCATGGCGATATGCACTTGTGGTCCCCGCTACTTGGGAGGCTGAGATGAGAGGGACTCTCGACCCCAGGAGGTCGAGGCCACAGTGAGCTGAGATCATGCCATTGCACTCCAGCCTGGGTGACAGAGTGAGACCCTGTCTCAAAAAAAGGGATCAGATAAGGACCAAAAAGCAGAGAGATCCCCAAGGGTCAAGTACTATACAGATTTTCATATTGGTGAGTGTATTTAAGTATCCATTTATTTTTCTCCTGACAACTGCTAACAGCTAACAGCTACTGATCATTTTCTTTGTGCCAGGAGCTTATGGTAGGGACTTTACATCAATATCTTATTTAATCCTCGTAACACATGGCGTAGGTACTATTGTTACTCCCATTTTAAGGATGAGGAAACCAAGGCACAGAAGAGTTATATAACTTAATCATATGCCTGTAATTCCAGCACTTGGAGCCAAGACAGGAGGATTGCTTGAGCCCAGGAGTTCAAGACCAGCCTGGACAACATGGCAAGACCCCATCTCCATTAAAAAAATAAAAAAATAAGTTTGTCAGGTGGGAGAATAGAAAAAAAAAAGAAATTTAAAAACAAAATTTAATCAGAGTTAGTAACATGGCGGAGCAAAAGTCTGTTTGACTTGGCAAGTCTGAGCTTAGCTGCCTTCCTAGACTGTAACAACAACTAGTTCAAGAAGTTAAAGAAATAAATGTTTCTGCTGTGTCACCTTTGGGCTACCATGCTGATTGTTTTCTTCTGACTTCCTTCCATCACTGAGTGCCTTTTATGTTCCACGCATTGTGCTAGGGGATGGGGAAACCACAATACTGTGTGATGTGTAAAAATAGAGGCAGTAGAAGGTAGCCCAAAACAGGTAGGAGTTATCAGTCACAGGGTAGGGAAGTGCTTTATTTAAAGCGTTGCAAAAGAAGTGAGGTGAAACTAAATTCCCTGTTTTTTTTTTTTTTTGTTGTTGTTGTTGTTTTCTAAGTGGACCAGAACTGACCCAGAGAGTGGGAAAGGGGACAGAGAACAAAGTAAAACGTGGTGACTTCTAGTTCTTTCAACTAAACCCAAGGCAAACTGACCCAACGCCCGTTGCCATGCACTTTAACACAACACTTTTCATACCCTAGATTTGAGCACTGTTAAGGAATATACAAATGCTACCTTCCTTCGTGGTCCTGATGAATTCCCAGTGAGGTCCAATCTGCCCTGGCAGGTTTCCGCTCATTTTTGCAACAAACAATACACCAAACCCAACCTACTAATTATCAAGGGCCTGGCACAGGTTTTGGACATACATCCCGGACTGCTGAGAACTGTTCTAGTGGTGACAGTTAGAAAGAATAGCCCTCCGAGGCAAAAAAAATGAGACATCTTGATTTTTTTTCCCTCCGCATCTGGAGGCTGATGCATCCACGGCGACAAGAAGACATCACTGATCTCCATATTTCCAGCGGTAAAGACCCAGCTGCGTTACTGGGGAGCTGGGTAAACAGCCCACGCCAGGGAGAGGCCCAAAGGAAAGTGACCTCCCCCGAGGCCCAGGCTGACGAGGAGCGCAGCTGCTCGGCCACCAGATGCGCAAACTCGCGCGCTCCCTCGCCGCTCTCAGGCGTTCTTAAGCCCAGCCGCCCGCCTAGGTCCCGACCCCTCGGCCGCGACCGCACACGCCATTCTGCCCGCAAGATGGAGGCGAAGGCACGAGGCGCCTCCGCCCCCAGGAAGTCTTTGTGCCCTTCCCGGCGGGGACGCGAAGCAAGGAGGCCCGCACCGCCAAGGGCCCCGCAGGCACCGGAGGGAGGAGGCGGAGGGGGCCGAGCCGCGCGCGCGGGTCTAGCCCGGGCCACCGCCCCCAGCACCGCGGGCACGCCGACACCCGCACCAGCGCGCGAGATCAGGCCTACCTACAGCACCGCGAACGCTTCGCACGTCCGGAGCGGCCTCAGTAACCCCATGCGGCGACCCCGAGCTGGGGGTCCTAGACAGCAACCGCGGCCCTCTAACTGCAGCCCGGAAAGCGCGGGGCGGTCCCGAGCGCCAACCACGCCCTTTGGACGCGCTTACCACGCCCTTCTTCCCGCCCCTTCTCCCTCCGGCCAGAGAGCTTTCGGCAGTCTCGCGCAGCCAATCTCAGCCCTCAGTCCGGGGCTTGGCCAATACGTGGACGCTTCTGCAAGATGAGCCCGCCTCCTACTTCGTCTTGACCTATGGGAAGTCGGGACTTTTTCCGGCTGTCCTCCCTCGCTTTTGGAGCTCCGACCTCAGCTTTGCCTCTTGGCTGCAAGCGGGGTTATGCAAGGGTGGGTATACAGCCCTGGGGTGCTTAGGGCTGGGTTCCTCGGAGCGCGCTTTCCCGCAAAAGGCCGCGCCGGGAGTCATGTGCACCTTTGTTCGTTTTACGCTGGACTCACTGAGGTTGCCGACGCACTGCCGCCAGGAGGCGGTCCCACCGCCTTTCAGTGTGTTTCTGTTTACATTCGCGTCAGTCAGACCCCGCGACGCGACCGGGGTCCGAACAGGTGCTACGGGCCGGGCGGGGAGCCACTGCAGAGGGGAGCTCCCCAGGCTGGGTGGTTGAGGACAGCCTTGGGGGTGGAGGGATTCTGGCTCGCAGAAGATGGGAAGGGCGTGAAAATGAACTGGGCGCTGCTTAGCGATTCCGAGCAGCCTGCTCTGATGGGAAATCGGTGATGGAGTCGGAGGGAAGTGAGAGTCAGTCTGAGGGAGACCAGGATACACACTCCCTCCCCCGCCAGCGTGAGACCTAGGAGCTTTCATATATCTATCTATATATTTTGCAGAGATGGGGTCTTTCAGTGTTGCCCAGGCTGGGCTTGAACTCCTGGACTCAGACGATCCTTCCGCCTTGGCCTACCAAAGTGCTGGGATTACAGGCATGAGCCACCGCATCCCATCCCCTAGGGGCTTAATGACACCACCCTTTAGCTTTTACTGCTCAGCAGAATCCGGAGGCATAGAGGAACTAGCACCAGCTGGCGTGGGGAAGGGGTCCTCCTTTCTAATGATTTTCTCCCAGCAGCACTTTCAGCAATCTGGCTTCTACTGAATATCTCCCCAATTCGTAAAACAGGTGTCTGTAAATGTCAACCCCTCCTGGGTGCAGGGTACAAATTTTTTCCCATGGAGCTTTTGAGTCCCAGGTAGTTTAGGAGACAAGGACTTGTGGTTTTTCCAGGCCTGTCAGGACAGCTCAGAGGTTTTGTCTAACCCAGGGGTCACAAACTTTTGACAACAGCAGCAGCTAGTCCACAGATGGTTTTATTTGGGCATCGATAGGTTTTCTTTGTTTGCTTTTGTTTTTGTTTTTGTAATAAGAATTTAAATCCCACCAGTGCCACTGATGCATTAAGTAAAAGCCAGCCTTCATGAATTTGCTGCCTACCTGAAGGCATTTATACACAGAAGACCTCCAGGGGAGTCACCTAATTCCACAGCCAAGTCACCCCTGCTGGACAGAGAACTGGACAAAGTTCAAACAGGCAAACAAGTCAGGCACAGAACCAGGGCACCAAATCTAAATGAAGGGAGCTTGAAAGAAAAATCAAGGCCAAATGAGTAAGAACTGAAAAAGCCAAGGAACTTATGGGTGGTGGAACTTGAGATAAGCAAAAGGAAGTAGTTCTGAGGTCAGCCAAAGACAAGCACATTATGATCTCTATCAAGTCCCAGGTCAAATCCTCCCACTTTCAGCAAGCCTTCCCTGACATCCTCCCCTCCTTTGAACCCTGCAGCATTCCACCGTTCCCATGGCCTTTACCATTTTCTTTTTTCTTTTTTTTTGAGGTGGGGTCTTACTCAGTCTCCCAAGCTAGAGGGCAGCAGTGTGATCTTGGCTCACTGCAGCCTCAACCTCACCGGGATCAAATGATCCTCCCATCTCAGCCTCCCGAATAGTAGCCTCCCACAGGCGTATGCCACCACGCTTGGCTACGTTTTGTATTTTTTTGTTAGATTCGGGGTTTCGGCATGTTGCCCAGGTGGTTTGAGTGGATCCTGAGCTCAAACGATTCTCTCACCTCAGCCTCCCGAAGTGCTAAGATTACAGGTGTGAGTCACAGTGCCTGCTGGAGCATTGATCGTTTTCTACCCTGTATGGTTTCCTCATCTATAAGACGGGATAGGATGAATGAATCCCAAGGTTCCTTTAGTTCTGACATTCTGTAGTTTTGTTTTGTGAGCAGCTTTTGTTTTTGCCTGGCAGGAAGACTTTCCTTTGAGGAATTCTCTGTGAACTCCTGGGTGAGATGGTTCTTTAGCACCACACTTCTCTGGCCTCCCAAGGCAGGATGGGTGTGAAGGGGAGGTGTGGAGCTCAGGCCTGGCCAACTAGTCTCCCTCCTCTTGTTCTCAGATTTCCCCAGGGATGGGCACATGACCAAACCTGAGATGATCTGAGCCCTTGTCTGGGATTTTAGAGAATGAGGTTGGGAGAAAGGCTCTTTCTTTCTCTGGTGTTTCTAAGCATGGGAAAAGTCGGCCTGGAGCTGTCTGTAGTTTATACTCCTTGCACAGCAAAGCTGGAGAACCAGGTCTGGAAATGTTAGAAACCAGGTAAGCCATCCTGCTTTGGTACTCTGATTAGAGTACATTCCATTTCCTTTGGTGATGATGTGAATTATTTTTTAACTCTTCTCACTCAAGATTCAAGTTTTAGGAAGGATCATTTACTTGGCCTAGTCTAGGATATGTGCCTATGTTCTAATTGCCAATAGGCAAAGAGTGTTCTGGTTTCTACTGTGGCTTCTAGTGTGGGAGGCCTAGCCTTATGCCAAGACTCAGTATGTGGGAGCCTCCTCTCAAATAAGAATGAGATGCTGGGTAGCCCAAGATTGCTCTGCTATAGTCTGTCTCTTAGGCTGCCCAATATTCACAGAAATGCTTTCAAAGTCAAGTGAAAATACTGCCATCCAACAAAATGCAAGTATCTCTCCTACAACAAAATTAATTTACTTATCCCCTCCCCAAAGCAGAGCATCTCAGAATCCCATTTATTGTATTTGCCCAGAGTCCGACTTTTATAGGTGATGTTCCCTTCTTCTGTCAGTTTCATCATCATCCTATCCCATCATTGTAATGTGTAGACTAAATTAAATTGTAAGTTAAGCATCACTGATAGACTTGAGATGCAATCGTGCAGAAAAAAGAAAAGCACAATAGCTAAAAACTCTTCATTTATATATAATACAGCAAGAAGAGAAATACCATTAGAAGGTACAATCCTCATTTTTGTAACTGGTGATGAAGCTTTATTGGCATTTATGATTTCCCTTCTCCACTACCTATTCCAGGTCCTTCTTTCCTTCATGTAACCCCTCAGCTGGCCAGGATTCTTGGCCTGGTTGGGTTAAGCAAGCTTTCGTTCTTGAGGCCATTGCCTATAGGTAGATTGTCTGTAGTTTGTCTGTAGGTGGTGCAGTACATTGCCATCAACTTGTGCCCTGGCATGAGAATGATGAGCTGGCCCAGGAGACTTCCTGGGTTCTAATGCTGCTCCTCCTGCCTCTGTGGCATACCAGCAACCCTACTTCCTCTTGAGAGTCAGGATCAGTCACCGGACAACATGTGACCTGTGGTATGAGGAGACCACATCAATTTCAGTTTCCAGTTAACAGAAGCCATTGTTGTAGGTTCTGGTGAAAGCATTGTAATGAAATATCTAAACCAGCTGGTTTGAGGAAAAGCAAAGTATAAATTTTGAGGCAAATCATTAGGTATAATTTGAGAAGTGCCACCCCATTGTCACCAGCAATGGTTCACTAACATCTGTATTCTGCTATGGAAGAAACTATTGGTCATTGGTTAAGAGTTTTGTCTCCCAGCAGGCACTTGAACTCTTTTTTTTTTTTTTTTAATTGAGACGGAGTCTCGCTCTTATTGCCCAGGCTGGAGTGCAATGGTCCAATCTCGGCTCACTGCAACCTCCATGTCCTGGGTTCATTCGTTCTTCTGCCTCAGCCTCCTGAGTAGCTAGGATTACAGGCGCGCCACCACACCCGGCTAATCTCTCTTTTTTTTTTTAACTAAAAATTTGGCCAGCTGGTGACTTGTTGCTGCTTGGGAGCTGGGAGCCGGATTCCACTCTGGGCAGAAGCAGGGCACAGCCAGTAGGGAGGCAGGAGAGGCCAGGTGCACGTTCTGGGACTTTCAGAGCAGCAGCCCGGGAACCAGCAGAGAAGATTCTGTCTTCCAGAGGTTGCCACTGTGTGCCAACTCACTTGTCACCATCCTCAGTCATCTTTTAAAAATTTGTAGTGACACTCTAGCTGTCTGGTTTTTCATGGGGAATGTGGTTGAAGTCTGACATCATTCCTATTGCCATGAAATCTGAAACTTAGTGTCATTCTCACTACAAACTGCCTTGGAGTTTGACAAACTCTTTCCCCACTCATATTGGCAGATTGTTTTGTTTTGTTTTTTGTTTGTTTGTTTGTTTGCTTTGAGACGGAGTTTCTCTCTTGTTACCCTGGCTGGAGTGTGATGGCGCGATCTCGGCTCACTGCAACCTCCGCCTCCTGGGTTCAAGCAATTCTCCTGCCTCAGCCTCCTGGGTAGCTGGGATTACAGGCACACACCACCATGCCCAGCTAAT